TCGTGAGTCAAAGGCACTAATGCTGACTCATTAGGTTATGTATCCTTGTAACATCCCATAATACGAGGGTAAAAATTTCATTTTTAAAACAATCGAAACACCCATTTATTATTTAAACAAATCCTCAAAGATATTTCATAATAAAAACAATTATCAGAGTACAATCCCAAAATCTCAAGGTTGCAGAAAATATGGGTGTATACGTTACGATCAAGTCGAGTCATTCCCTTTCGAACCGGAAGTATCTGAAACCATAAAAAACAAAGGTAAGAACAAATCTTAGTGGTTTCTCTAAATACCACATACCATACATAACATACGAGCCAACCATAACATACATATCCAACATTCAATAGGAGGGTCTATGTGCCAACCATAGTCTTGCCAGTATGCCACGAGCCGTATCATGGTCTTTCATTGCCAGGTCGGGGGCCAAAACCCTGGGTCTTACAGAGAATTTCCAAGAGCCACCTTCTGGTCTTGCACGCAAGCATCACAAAGACAACTAATATAATATACAACTACTTATCTACTTAATTATCAGAGTCTAAACTCAGGTCTTGCATACAGATATGCCAGGAGCCACCTCCTGGTATTTCATACAAATAACAAGGGGTACCCCTGGTCTTCCTATAATATATAAACCTAATGGGTCGGCATTGGTGCCTTCGAACTATAGTACAGTGAGGAGGCTCACCTCGCAGTGCTGAATCACACTGATAATCCCTATTGTTGGTCCGACAATTCCTCAAGTTATCATTATTAGATAACACCCAATTAACACTTGGGTCCCAACCCAAAACCAACAATCCATACATGACCATTCCACCCCTCACCTAGTTTGGTCCAAGACTAAGGCCCAAACTCACAATCAAAAGGTCCACAAAATAAATAACCATCTACAGCCCACTTATGGCCCAAATTTACAAATTGGTCCCAAACCTTTACATGGGCCTTACCCTAAAGCCCATTAAGTTTTCCTAGTCCAAAACACTTGTCTAAAAGCCCAAAATCAAAAATAAGCATCTAAGGCCCAAATATGGTCCAACTTTCCAAATTAGGCCCACTTCCTTTCATGGGCCTTCACCTAAGAAAGGTAAATAAAGTCAAAAAAAAGTCCCACCATAAAATCCAAATGGCCCAACATGGCCTAATGAAACCAAGCCCAAAACGAATAAGTCCAAGCCTTCCGCACACTCAACCTGTACGCTCAGCGTACTACATGAAAGCCTTGTATGAGCAGCGTTTAAACTTGTACGCCCATCGTACTCACTAGTCATGGCCAACATTCCAAAATCAGCTCCTAACCCATTAAGACTTTGATCTAAACTAATATCTGACTTCCCCAAGGTGGGTAATCACATAAAGTTGCCAACTTTATGTGCATGCATGGGTAATAGGACTCTAGAGCTCCAAGGAGCTTAATACTCGACTTAATACATGCATGGGACCAAAACCACCATAAAGTTTGCACCTTTATGCCCAAAGAACTCATAATTTACTCATATTTATAAGATTGAGCTCCAAAAACGACCCTAACTCTCAATCACCAACCAAAAAGGACCAAAATGACCAAAATGTGCCAAGAAAGAGATCTATGAAATGAAATGCCAAGGTTGGATTTTTATACCTTCCAAGCCACCAAAAGAAAATGCTAATGCTAGACCTCAAACCTTCCTTCAATGAACAAGTCTACAAGCTTCTTTTCTTCTTCTAGGTCCACAAAACCCAACACAAAAACCTCACAAGAGCTCAAGATCACCAAACATGGACTATCGAACGATTTAGGGTTTTTAGGATATGGAGGCTGGCTAGGAAATGATCAAAAGATTCTAAAATAAAGCTTATATAGGGCACAACACAAAAATTAGGGTTTTCCACTTCTTACTCGTACGCTAAGCGTACTCCAGAGGTACGCCTACTAATACGCTAAGGATCCGCAACCAACATCCACTAGTACGCTAAGCGTACGCCAAGCCTAACTTTTTGCATGCCCTACATACTGCTTAAAAGGGATAAAACACAATTATTTCAATTTCAAAAGTCAACAAGGAACATCTTCATTTCCATGCATTAAAATCCTAGTTATAGGATAATGCTATGCTAGTATATGACTGATTGGTAGATCTGTATGATTATCTGTATTTATTGGATCTGTGTTTATGTTTATTTGTTACATATGTCAACATATTGTGGTTGAGTTGAGGCGGTCATGCTTTGTGCCGAAGGACAAGACACTTGGGGCGGTCTGGATAGGCTGTAGGCCGTAAAAGGCGATCCAGTCATGTCGAAGGCCCGTATAGCACTCCAAATAGGTTGTAGGCCCTAGGAAGCTGTCCAGTCAGAAAGAAGGCTCATATTTGTATGGTGTTGTTTGTTATGTTGTGTGGTGGTACTTTGGGGAAACTCACTAAGCTTTGGCTTACGATTTCAATTTATTGTTTCAGGCACTTCAGATGATCATGGGAAAACGAAGGCGTGATTGTGCATATCTTCGTGTTTTTATGACATTGGATCTTGAGATACTCTGATTATGATTATACTTTTGAAACAACAATCTTTTTGTAAACACTTTATGCTTAATGCGTTGTTTTTTAAAATTTTGAATTTCTATGATTTTTAGGATGTTACAATCTCTTTATAATCCCTATTAGTGTATCAGTTAACCACTCACGCTCCACTAACAACATATAAAGCATGATGTGCGTTTTTCATGGATTAACATACTTTTCATATTTTTCCTAAAGTAACTAAGAGTGAGATTTTATACTTTTAATCATTATACTTTTAATCGTAACTCCTTCATACAGACTCCGTTTTCGTCTGTCTTTTTAACGTTGAGTTCCTATTAATGGGATCTTCAACTCTCATTTAGGTCGCGTAAGCCAAAAACCGCTTGAACTAAAATTCGAGTTTCGGGTCATGCACTGCTAAGCAAAATCTTAGAAAAATCATAACTTCCTCATACGAAGTCAAATTTAGGCGTTCTTTTTATGGACGCTCTCAGTTTAACATATTTTATGACTTTCATTTAGATCACTAAGGCTAAAAGTCGCTCTATCATAAATTCACTATTTACGTCTCCCCGGTGTCGTGCCGGTTCCGTCACGAAACTTCAATGGGTCATAACTTCTTCGTTATAACTCGGATTTCGGCGCTCTTTATATGTACGGAACCCTTGAGACATGTTATACAACTCGGTTAAGATATTTATTCTAAATAATCTTTTGTCGAAAAGTCATTTTCGATCCCTATTATCTTTAAATTGACTAGCCCGGATCCACGGACGTTACATGAAAACCCTATGTACTCACCAGGTTTCCCAACCTGACCCGCTCAGTTTATTTATATCACATGTGTTGATATGAAATCACATTACACTGAGGGATTAAGAATATATAAATCACTAGTGATAATAAATTTAAGTTTTGTTTATGGTTATGTTTATGTATTGACGATTACATCCCAAATGTTTTAAAATGAATAAAAATATTTTTCTTCGGAAATGCTTTGATAATGTATTTATCATGTTTTATTGGGAACAAATTCCGCAACATTTTTATTAAAAGAGATACTCTGATTTTTATAAAGCATAAACAAAATCGGTCTTTTCTGACCGTAAAAATGTAGATGTCACATACAACATACTCAAGGGGTCACATAATTTTGCATGGTTGGTTCACCATCTTATTTGTGAGATCTTGGTATCCCAAGCACAAATAGAGGATGCGCAAATCCGAGATTAACATGCCATTAATAGTATTAATAAATCTAAAAAAATGTAATAGTTTCATAGAGATTAAAACTAACAAAGTGCATTACCTACCTAAATAACTTTGTGGTGTGTTAACGACATTCCTTTACACATTAGCCAAATATGGATCATATCCTTAGTAAATAATAAATTAGGGTTGAAAAATTATTTAAAGGATTAATAAAACAAATAAAAATGAAATTAACATTGAATGATGTCTACAAGATAATCCACTAAAATCTATTGCTCAAAAGGATTAACCGGAAAGATGATCAATCTAATCCAAATTCGTAGTTTAAGAATAGTTCTCGTTTTCGAATAGAAAAATAACGCCTTAGACAAAGCTCTTCCTAAGGTTCCTTTAACTAATACCCGATAACCGGAAATCCAAGTTCACATCACCAACAAAAAGACAATGTTACAACCGGCCTCCAATAGAACACTATGGAATAAACAGATGAGACATATTGAATAGAAAAAACCATCTTGATGTAGAGAAGGTGTATGTGTGGGGAGAAAGAGAGCTCCAAATTTTGGAGATTAAACCCCTTCAACCCCACATGGTGGTGGAATGATGACTCTGTTTATAGGGACAATGAAGGGACCATAAATGACAATGGATAATAAAGCTTGCTATGGATTATTCATGACATGCTTTTCTACTCGATTGGTGCTATGCTTAGCCGATGTTGTCACACTCATCAAACCATATCCTATACAACTTAGTGTTGCTCTGCATGGCTAGAATCAACACCTTGGCCAATTCAGTCACTTCAATGCTAATGGACCAAGCACCATTAGTCATGTAAATAACAACAAATGGTTGTTAAAGGGTATTTTTGGTAAAATTTGTTCGAGAAACTGAAAGTGAAAGTTTGTAGTTGGTAGCTGCTCTAAAAACTAGAAGGTCTATATTTTGTGTGAAAGAGTAGAATTTTTCCACGAAAGTAATTATAAGCTTTTGAAATTTATAAAACAATATAACTAAAGTTACGAAGAGCTCTACAAAATTTCTTAAAGTACAATTTAGATTATAGGTTTTTTTTTTTTTTTTTTTTTTTTTTTTAAAAATAAAAACTTCAAAATGGTACACAAACAAAGTTTTTTATTTGATTACAAGCTTTTTTTTTTTTTTTTTAATTAAAATCTAAAATTATATAACAAAAAATCGAAAACCAGGAAGGATGAAAACGGCCGTTTTCTAGGCGGCTGACCGGAGTAGTCCTACTCTGCACCATGTCCAGCCCTACGGTGGAAACCTTTGACTGTTACAAGATTTTCTTCTTCTGTCATTGCGGCCAAAATTCTCCCGATATCGCTCGTTCTTTCGTTTTGATGGTCGTTTCAGGGTGCGTCGGATCACTTGAATATAAAGATAGTCACAATCGGGTTTCATCAACCAGATGATGAGGTCGTTGTAAAGGCTGGTGATTGCTGCTACTAACCACCGCATTTTATCAGGTCTCTCGATCAACCAAATGGTGAAGCCATTCCAAAGGGTGGCTGCTGCTATTGACAACCACATTTTAGCACTGAAAGGCTTTATAAACAGCCATAGTCGGTTTGATAATTTGGATTGAATGGTATTGGGGACAATCATCTCCAAAACTGATTCAATGTACAGTTGCGTGAAATCCACGTACTCGTGTATTCTGGACAGTTCATCGTAATAATCATATGCCAGATTCAACGGTCTCTGAAAACATTGATCATTCTGCTGAAGTGGTATTTTGAGATCGAAGTTTTCAGGTGACCTTTTTTCAAGCAATTTCATGACATTATTATATCCTCGCACGGGAAAAATTCCAGGTTCGTCATGCTCTTCTTCTGGGTAATTGGAACGTAACTTTTGACAGAATCTTTTTTTGAAATCGAGGAAATTCGGTGTGTTTTTCGTTAAGTAGGTTTTAATTCCATCCATACCCTTCAGCGAAGAAATCATGGTCGAATTAATGGAATGAAAAGGATCTGTGATTCCATTCGTTGAAATCCACAGACACCAGTCTCCTGTCGTTTCCATCTTCTTGGCTGCCTTAAACAGGCGAACCTTAAGTTCCAGAGACGTATGAATTACAAAGACTTTAACTTGTTGTCGCTTGAGCACCTCAAGCTCTTCTTCTAACAAGCACGAACCAGATGTGAGTGGTAAGATATGGTTTAGCTCAGAACCTGTTTGTCGAAATGCCTGAGAGAGATGAGAGATGACTGATGATGTTGAGGCTAAATGTGAGCTTTCGAATATGAGAGTAACTTTGGTCTCTGTTCCAGTGGCGAGTGATGCTTTTAGAAGAAACCGCAGCATTGAGAAAGCAACCAAAGTGTTGAGGTAACTTGAAAATTTATGCATCTTCATTGATATTCTTCCTTATTCATTACATAGACTCGAATATATCTCAAAAGTTGTTTCCTATTCCCCAAATCATATGGTGATTTCAGTATAAAATAATTTTTTAAAAAAGTTTCCCAAGAAAAAAAATTCTTGTAGCTTTCAATGAAGACAAGCCATCAACAACACTTACATTGATTGCATGACATAATGCTGTAAATCATACTCACAAAAATTATATCATACTTTTATTCTCATTTTGTGAATGTTGTTATAGTAAATATGAATGCAAATGTCTTGATCCGAAGAGCTACCAATGTTTTAAACTTTAAAATGCAATGAAATTTTGGTTATTCTTAGTTTACAATGCATCTTATGTCAACTTGTGTCATTTTCAGAAGTCAACATGTACGTGGCTCTGACTAAATCATCCATATTCTCTTACATTATTACCCGTAAAGAATTATAATTTGATTGTTTGACTATATGTACAAACTTTAAACGCCCTCTAAAATTTTAAAAAAATTAAGGGATGCTAGCGACCAATATCAAAGTACAATGTTGTAAAAAGAAATGAAAGTTGGACGCTATAAAATTAACGAAATAGCAGTTTTCGGCAGTTAATAAATGTTTCTCTGGAAAATAAGCGTCTCACCCCTTCGTCCCCACCATTTGTGGATCAAATTCACTTTATGAAAATCTACAGTCAGCACATCTAACTTGTAATTTGAGTCTTTTTTGATACTCATATAAATTCAAATATTTACACTCGGTTGCCTTGTGACACTAAATCACCAACTTTTCTAAGTTGTTTGATCTAATTATTTATAATTATAAATTAGCATGAAACAATAATTGAGTTATTGTGGTTAAGTTAAAGACTTCACAAATATTTATTTTATGTCGATAATTATATTTAATTAATCTAAACATTTCATTAGTTTGTTAATTAGATTCCGTTTTCTTGCAATTCAGTGAACAGAAATTCGTAAACATGGTGGAAAGAGTCAACACGACGAGTATACCCTACGTAGCATTATTATTATTATTATTATTATTATTAGTATAATATTTTCATCCAATTAAAATTTTATTATATAGCTTGCTTTTTTTTTTCAGCTCATAAAATAATATGTTTATTTAATCATAAAGTCAACTAAATCATTCAGTTATTTTTGTACGTAGCTTTAAACAACTATAACCTTCATTTTCTAAATACAAAAACTTGCTTTCCATTAGATTATATAAGAGTAATTCGAGGAAGGTGCAATGAAGTTGCTACGCATACTAAAAAAATAAAAATCAAAACAGTATCTCCATCATACCAGATAAGTCTTATAGTTTGATTTTTTTTATTCTATTATTGGTTGACATCTTACTTATTAATACAATTGTAATTACATGAAAATTTCCCTAAACTATCCAAATGACTGGGACTTATCATCCAGAAGCATAGATATTATTTTCTTACTCGTATGATTTGGACATAAAACGTTGAACATTTCCACGACTTTCTATACTCCTTTGCAATTTGCGAATGAAAATGTAGTTAATCGACTTCAACACACTGAAGAGATATTTCTTATGTCATGGCTAAAACCTTGAAATCTTTTGTATAGTCTTTGTTGACTTTTCTTATAATATAATACTCATATACTTTCAATAATAACTGAATAATAGTCAATCAGTTAAATTAGATCACACCTTTTCCTATATATATGGTGAATGAGTACCAATAGAAAATTGGGTGAGATACTGGGATTGTGTTTTACTCTGTAGGCATACTCTTTCTTTTCCTATAATGAAAAACAAGCTTATGTCTATTATTGTTATCTTCACCATTTGTTTGTTTAAGATACCTTTTATTGTTAAAATCGATGCCAAATCTATACGAAGTAACTCTAGTGATCCATTTGTTATTGGTGCAATTGTGGATATGTCATCTCGAGTAGGCAAAGAGGCTAGAGTTGCCATGGAAATTGCCATAGATGATTTCAGAGCAAAAACGAATCAAAACTTGACTCTTTACACCACAAATTCAAAAGGAAATATTGTTCAAGCAATCCATGAAGGTAAACTCATCTAATGCCATTTCTTTTTGTTCAATATGTTTCTTTTCTTTTTGGTAAAACTAATATGTTTCATGAACTTGGTTGAAATGCAGCAACCTATCTCATTGAGACACATAAAGTGGAGGCGATTTTAGGGCTACACACTTTAAAAGAAGTGGTTTCAGTTGCAGAGGTATGTAGTGAAGCGCAAGTTCCAACTTTCTCTCTCTTTGATTCAGTTCCTCAATGGGCCCTAGATCAGTGGGCCCCCTTCCTATTTCAAGCTTCACCCTCTCAGTTTTCTCAAACAAAAGCTTTTGTTGCTATTCTTGAATCTTACGGATGGAGTCGTTTTACTTTCATATACGAAGATACTAATTCAGCATCCACTCAAATCATTCCACATCTCATGGAAGCCATTAAAGAATCTAGTACTGTAGAAATAAGCAGCATTGTAAAGCTCTCACCTTTATCCTCTTCCTTTTCATTGCCAAAAGAACTCGAAAGAATCAGTAAAGAACAATGCAGAGTGTTTCTTCTTCATTCCTCTTTGGAAACAGGCGTTCGCCTTTTTCAAAATGCAAAGAACATGGGGATGATGGAAAAGGGTTATGTGTGGATCACAACAAGTTTAATCACAGATCTTCTCCACACTCTAAATTCCTCAACTTTTTCCACGATGGAAGGCGTTTTGGGAATCGGGAGTTTCTTCTCACAGTTTGATGAATTTACCACGAAGTTTCAGAAAAAGTTTAAACTCGAACAACCTGAAGAAGAAGAAAACAACATCCCTGGGGTTTTTGCAGTTCAAGCGTATGATGCTACATTGATTGTGGCCTCTTTACAATTCGTTGATCAAAAACCAATTGCATCACATATATTTCCAATCATAAATGTTATAGGAAAATACTATAGAGAACTAGGGTTTTGGTCAGAAGGACTCGGTTTTTCTGAGTTTATTAATGAAAAAACCACTTACGACACTTGTTTAAAAAGTTTAGGCTACATTTTTTGGCCTGGGAAACCCTTGCATACTCCAATCGGATGGGCTATTCCTACAAATGCCAATCCATTACGAGTAGGTGTCCCAACAATGGCCATGTTTAAAAAGTTTGTAGAAGTGAAATATGATCATAAAAATCATAATCTCACTTACAAAGGCTACTCGATTGAGCTTTTCAAAGAAACCATCAAACTTTTGCCTTATTACTTGCCATATGAGTTTCATCCCTTTAATGGGACATACGATTCTCTAGTGGAGCAAGTTTATTTGAAGGTAAATCATATATTGACATTGTTCTTCTTATTGTTATTAAATTCTTCATTTGAGACTTTAACTTTATTCATGTAGAAATTCGATGTGATAGTTGGTGATGTATCGGTAGTATCGAGGCGATATAAGTATGCTGAGTTCACGCATCCGTATACAGAAACAGGGCTAGTGATGATAGTACCTGTCACATCGTATCATGGACAATGGTTATTTGTGAAGCCCTTTACATTAAGCATGTGGGCGTTAACAATTTTAATCAATATATATAACGCCTTTGTGATATGGCTGATTGAGCACAAAAACACCCCTGAAATTGGAGGATCCGCTTTGAATCGCACTGGAATTCTTCTCTCTTTAGCCTTCACTAGAATGTTCTTCACTAATGGTAACTTTTTAAACATTTTACACATTTCAAAATTGAAACAAACAAATGATAATCTGTTATCATCATCTTCATTCAGGTGATGAAGTTCATAGTAATTTGACCAGAATGACAACAGTGGCGTGGCTGTTAGCGGCAATAATCATCGGGCAGTGTTACACCGCTAGTCTCACCAGCATGCTCACTGTGAAACGGCTGATACCTAAAGTTGCAGATTTTGAAACCCTAAAAAATGGTAATGCAGTTGTGGGGTATGGCCAAGGGGCCCACGTTGCCAGTTATTTGGTGGATGTTCTTGGTTTCAAGAATCGAAACATTAGGGCTTTCACTTCTCCAGAAGGATACGCACGTGCCCTTAAAAACAGAGAAATATCAGCGGTTTTTCTTGAAGCTCCTTTTACTAAACTGTTTCTCGCTAAGTATTGCAAGAGCTTTATCACTGCTGGACCTACATTCGGGGATGGAGGATTTGCATTTGTAAGACTATATAAACTTTTCTTAATCTATCATTTGAATATCTGTTGAATTTGGGGATACCGAGTTGTATTTATGTTATATGATTTGGTTGCAGGTGCTTCCGAAAGGTTCTCCAATGGTGGCTGATTTTACTAAAGCGTTGTTGAATGTGTCTGAAAGTGGGACTCTACAAGAGATAGAGAGAAGAATGATTGGTTCTGAGAAATGTGTAGAGATGGATTCGGATCATGATGAGTATGAAAGTTTGGGTCTTGGTAGCTTTTGGTCGCTTCTTGTTTTGACAAGTGGGACTTCGACTATTGCTCTTATAATTTATGTTGTTATTAACTTGAGGGATTATTGTCGGATCGAACAGAAAAGTATAATTTCAATTTTTTCAGATGTTAAGAAATACTTTGTGAATCCAAGGAAACGAATCTCAAGGAAAGTTAGCGATGTAGAAAGTCCTAAAAATCTCAACTTGGAAATGACTTGAGTAGGTGCACCAATTTTTAAGTTGTCTCAAATATTAAAAACCAGAGTATCCATTTTTGTTGTGTTTTTATTATTGATATTGAATGTATAGGTATTTGGACATTGGTGTGGAAAAACTGGAAAAAAGAAGAACAATCATTATGTTCAAATAGCATCACCATGCTGGGAATGCCATTCATGCATATGATGGACATCAACAAGAACAATTCTCACCATGCTGTCATGTGACAAATGGATCGCATGAGGTCAGCTACATCTACCAACCTTTTTATAATTAAGGATATTATGAAAATAGATCAGTACCCTATAATTAAAATTTTCTAATTTACTTGAAAGATAATTTGGACTTGCATAATGTGATCCTCTTATAACTCTATTAGAGGTATGCAGATGGATTGGGCTTTCTGGGGATTTATGGATTAGATTTGGATCGGACTTTAGATGTCATTGGATCCGGATCTTGGAGCTTTAGTTTGCAGAGGTTGCAAATATTTTGGTACGACGGGTCCTCAATTTGGCTTTATCTAGGATATGTTTTTGATGGATTTGGGCTGGTTGGACATTTTGTTAGCTTTTTCTCATTTTGTATCTATATAATCAATTTTTGTAAATTTTACATTTGTAACAGTTAGTATATGCAACATCTGTGATTTGGTTTTGTTGTGTTTATATAGGTTAATTGGTTATAAATGTGGCAAGTTATATTAAGAAACAGTAAGATAAGCTTTAAGGGTTGATAATGAGAAGAAATTAAAGTTAGCTGCTATTAGTGACTTTGACCAGCATTGGCATTGGGGTCAAACTCAAGATTATGAGATTTAGTGAGATGAATGCTTTGAAGGGTAAAATGGTACAATAATGTAAGTAATTAATGAAGGGTTGGTGGTTATGCGGTCATCATTTCCTAATTATCGAGTACGAATGTGGAATTAAGGTGTAACTTAGGTAGAATAGATTAGATTTGCTGTTTCAAAAAAAAAAAATTATCATGGATCTTTACACAATACTTTTCTTACACTTAATACATTGCTCAAGAGTTTCATTTATGGAGAGAAAGGAAAGGAAGCGGGAAAATTGATAAAAAAAAATCATTGCTCCCGAGTAGGGAGAAGAGAGAAAGGAAATGAAGATTTATACTAATCTTACTTATATATTGTCTTACCAAATGGGGAGGAAATGGAGAGAAAGGAAAGAAAGATCCCTTTCTTTTCTTTTCTTTTCTTTCCTTTAGTGAACTTGGGAGCGGAGTTAAGATCTCTTGAAGAAGATGAGTTGTTGAAGACTTGAACTGATTCACACATAATATGTTCTGATCAAGGAAGGGCATCAACATGTGTTTTAAAAAGTGTGCCTAAGGCGCTAGGCAACAAGACAAACGCCACCAACCTCCAAGGCGATGTCGTGTATAGGAGGCATCGACTTTTTTTTTTGAATCATCGAATTTTTTAGGCACCAAGGCCTCGCCTTTAGGGATTTATGTACATGTTGGGCTCAATTCTACCATATACATATTAATTATTTTAGTGCTTTTTAACTGTATTTGGTTGTCAAACCAACAAATAATGGGATAAAATAATAACAAGAAAACTCAATTCACTGCTACTTCATACACTGGAGATAGTATAGAGTAAGCAGGGTCGTTCCGCAGAAATACGTGACTTCTTATTAGCCATATTCTCACACATCATACAAACAATAGTAAAATGGGGATTATGTTTGAACTCGAATTAATTCTCATAAATAAACAAGATTAATACTAAAAATCAATAAAAGAAATACATTTCCGATTCGGATTCCTATACATGCATTATGTTGTAGGATCTAATATGACTATTAACAAACTCTAATACCCAAGTTGACAAAAGCATTTTATTCAAAACATGTTCTTCAAATAAAACTTCATTTAATTGATTCAATTCAAACAAGCTCTTGGATCAAATCATTAAATGACATTAAGTTCTTGTAACAATTACCAACAATGTTCAACATTCCTCATAAGCTTGGGATATAAACATTTAATCTTTAATTACACTGATTTTGATCTAATTACAACCAATCAAGTGCATGTTACTAACATCAAATCATAAAACATATACGAATTTCACAATTTGATTAACTAGATTGATAAGAACCCTAATTCATTGATCAAGGAAAAGAGAACCAATCAAACATGTAATTAAGTCCAAATCAAAGATTACTAGATTATAAACATAAAGTCAAGTACAAATTACAACTTAACAACAAACACTTAGGAATCCAGAATCAGAAATGATAAAGAAATCATCCGTACATGTCTAAGTTAAACTACAAATTCAACTAGTTTGATCTTCAAATTAACTTACAAAATGTAAAATAAAGTGTTTCCATGATGCTAGATGATGATATGATACACCAAAATCGTCCCCTTGAAGTCTCTTGTCAAAGTTATCGTTGAATATGCCAGAAGAACATGATAAATCGGAAGTTAAGAATTCAAATTTTGATAAGATCACGTTACACGGCCCGTGTAACGTATGCTTTGGCATTACACGACCGTGTAATGACTATGATGTGCTGAAATACTTCCAAAGTGCAGCCGCGTAACGTATTCCTTGCCAAAACGCGCGGTGTAATGCAGTTCATAAAAGTCAATTCCTGATTTTCTTCATTTCTTCAATTTAGCTCTGAAAGTTCCAAAATTTCATCGAGAGCTTCCTTTCACCATCCTAAGCATGCTCCAATCTTCAAATCACCCTGAAACATCCACAAAAAATGTTGAAATATCGATAGATCCTCGATAATGTCCTTAAATGCAAAATGAATGAATATTACACTAAAAATGCAATGCAATGCTATAAATAAGCATGAAATTAGCTTATGAAAAGGTGCAATTTATGCACCTAATAATAATATTTACTTGTTGTCTATCGGTTCACCTTTCACATGCATCAATGCCGACTCTACATTTCTTTCAGGTGTTCCAAGAGTTCTAGGCAATCACAACAACTCCATGTATGTTCTTCCCTCATTTATTTATCCATGCAATTTTCTTCCCTCGTTCTCTATTTTCTTATGTTGCCATTCTTCTGAAGTCATTTCTTTTCTTCCCTTATTCCCATTCCACTAATACTATGGACACCAACAATGATACTGTTGGCATTAACGATGCAATGGATCCAGGAAAGGGATATAGTACACCTGACCCAACAAATATGCATAAATTTATTTGAAAATTTTGTGCAAAGGCAACTTCTGGAGGAGTATATCAAATAAAACAACATTTAGTCGGTGGTTTCAAAAATTGTAAAAAATTCTTAGTGTCTGAAGCATGTGTGGGAAGAAGTAAAAAACTACATGATCCAAGAAGAAGTGGAAAAAAATTCAAAAACTACCGAACCTTCGAATGTATTGGAACTTGATGACTGCGATGAAGATGATGATGACATAGGAAAAAGAAGTAGCAAGCCCCCACCTAAAAAACCAAGACAAAAAGGTCCTCTAGACAATTTTTATGCTAATAAACCAAATAACATACTCAAAGGTAGAAACGGTGGAAAACCACAAAAAATAAACGAAGTGTGTCGAAAGACCTTAGGGACCAGGCTTGTATGTGATGACTTTTTGAGCAAAACAACATTCCTATGGTGTTCACGAAGTGTCACATCACCATTTGCCAAAGAACTACTAGACTACATGATCCCAAACACAACTAAACTCCCCAATCTAAAAACCTACAACGGAACAACAAATCCAGACAGCCACATCGACATCTACAAATGGACAATGACCTCCCTCAAACTAGATGAGTGATTTTGGTGCACCTACTTCCCAACAACCCTTGATGGCAATGCATGCACGTGGTTCAAGACACTCCGACCAGGCAACATATACAACTTTGGCCAACTAAAGTATTTGTTTCTCACAAATGCCACGCAACTGTGAAAATATAAGGGCGACTCTCACTCGATCATCGCCTGAAAGTAGAAGGAAGGAGAGATGGTGAGGGAATATTTCACAAGGTTCACAAATGCCACACTAGACGTTCTAGGGCATGATGAAGATCTGATAGTTGGGGCCTTCACATGGGGACTCTTGCCAGGCCCTTTGTCTAAAAAGCTCATGGGAAAGAAACTGTAAACACGAGCAGAGTTAAAGGAGAAAGTAGAACGGTACTTGAGGCAAGAAGAGGGGGTGGCAAAGAAGCACGCATACCGAAACGCCATGGAGGCTCCCGCAAAGAGCTACATTCCAACCCAAACACTAACGCTGGGCGACAACAGGCACTTCTGGCGAGGGAAGCGCTCGCAAGGACGCTTTGGACCATTCAATAGAGACGACAGGCGAGGCCGGCGACCAGACGTTTACGTAGTCGCGGACAAACCGCAATCGCCGAAGACAATAAAAGGACGGTACTGTGAATATCACAAGAGAAAAACCCATGACACCAATAATTGCTTGGTTATGAAGAAAGAAATGGAAGAAAAACAACTAAAGGGAAACCTCGTGGAAATAGCATGAAGCCTCCGAGCAAAGTTTGACGTTGAGAATGCCAAGGACGCGTCAAGGGAACACACCCAACCTAAGGAAATACTCATGGTGCGTGTCAAGAGGGAAAGGCAAGATGAACAAGACGACCTAATAGGCATCATAACGCCAACCCATGGACTCACGTTCTCAGCAACAAATCCACGGCCTAAAGGGTGTAAGGGTGATAACCTACTAATAATCCAAGCATCCATAAAGAATGTAACTATTCACAGGGTATACATCGACACATGTAGCTCGACGTATATAATCTATGAGCATTATTTCTTCCTCCTCCCCGATAGATGGAAAGAAAACCTCAGACCCACCACTGGAAGACTAGTAGGTTTCACAGGGCACAACATATGGCCCCTGGGCACAATCTACTTGCCTCTCACACTGAACAATCACGACAAACAACGAAGAAAAAACAACTTTGATCGAGTTTGTGTTCATCCGCCACTCTACATAACACAACATCATACTAGGAAGGACGACCCTGCTCAAACTTGGGGCGATCCCGTCAACAATGCACATGATCGTAAAGTTCAGCACTACCGAAGGACCGACCACAATCCTCACCTCCCCTCCAAAAGAGTTGCAATACTTCAAAGTCATGCAGCCAATAGAAATAACACAGGAGACCAAGAGGGTAAGGGTCGAAACGATGAAAGAGAAAGAGGTGATCAATGAGGAATACCCGAACCAGTCAATAAGCGTTGGCTGTAACCTTCCAGAGCGAAATAGGGGAAAGGTACGCCTGCTGAGACAGTATAAGCATATGTTCGCATGGACCCCCATGGACATGGTTGGTGTGGACAGAAAGGTCATAGGACACAAGCTAATGATCAAACCGGGCACGAAGGAGGCGAAACAAAAGAAGAGAGTCCACGGAGGGGACCGAAACCGGACGATCAATGCAAAGGTGGCCAAGCTAACAAGGGCATGAATCTTGAGAGAAGCAGTATTCCCAACGTGGATTGCTAATCCTGTGATGGTAAAATTTTTGGATTAGTGTCTAAGCTCGTAACCATATTTGATAAGTACTTGACCCGGTTGTGCATGGTCCTTTTGGGTTGCCTTCACCAAAGCAAATTAATTGGAGAAATAATAGAGAAAGAGGTTATTATGGTTTATTAATATATTATATGAATAATATATTAAAGGAGAAATCATATTTATTTAG